ATATTGGACGGCTCTGTGCTTTCAAAGTTTTCTTTAGAAGATCCTGTTTTGAAAAGCAGAGTTGACACTTGGATTGATTCATCTGTTTTATAATCTGAAATGTAATTTAGTAAATATTTTTTCAGAGATAAATGCCCACTTCTCAAATAAATATCATTAATCAAAGGGATTTACAATTTCATTTGACCTAAAATATCTGCATTGGTCTAATAATTTTTAAAAATACAGTGTATCTTGTATTTATAAAGAAAAACAAAAAGGCACATTTAACTCTCTCTTTAAAGAGATCTTTTCACTTTATGCATAAAATAGACCTCATCATATAACAATTGATTGATTTAAAAAAAAGCACTTGATGTTCCATTTCAATCATTCAAATAAATTAGAGGCTAAGCGATTTCATTTCCTATTAAAAAATTTCTCCTAAAAGTCCAGGCTTTGGAGAATTTGATTTATGAAATTGCAATGTTCTTAGTTTATTTTCAGGTAAACAGGTATATTTGAGTGTATTTAGTGAAGAAAATAATAATGTCAGCGCACTCTCTAGATCAGATCTTTAAACTAAAACAAATACCAGCGGTTGCATATTGCATATCGTAAGATAGCTTAAAAAATTTTCCTTTTTGAAGACTTTTTCGGAATATTAGAAAAACAAAAAGGCACATTTAACTCTCTCTTTAAAGAGATCTCTTCACTTTATGCATAAAATAGACCTCATCATATAACAATTGATTGATTTAAAAAAAAGCACTTGATGTTCCATTTCAATCATTCAAATAAATTAGAGGCTTAGCGATTTCATTTCCTATTAAAAATTTTCTCCTAAAAGTCCAGGCTTTGGAGAATTTGATTTATGAAATTGCAATGTTCTTAGTTTATTTTCAGGTAAACAGGTATATTTGAGTGTATTTAGTGAAGAAAATAATAATGTCAGCGCACTCTCTAGATCAGATCTTTAAACTAAAACAAATATCAGCGGTTGCATATTGCATATCGTAAGATAGCTTAAAAATTTTCCTTTTTGAAGACTTTTTCGGAATATTAGGAAAATTACGCATTTCATTACGTCATTGCATTGACTAGCTAGAAAACTACATCATTTTTTATATAGATACGCAATTACCATGAGCTAAGTTATATTCAAATGCACTGTTAACTAAACTAAGCAGCTTAATTCAGTTTTTTGAGAAATTCACAGGGCCAAATACATGAAAGGCTATAAGTAAACCTTGTTCTATTGTGCTTTTTAAAAAAATATTATTTGACTTTTTTCCCTTTCATGGATATTTTAAGACTTTGGGACCAGTATATACATTTTAAAGAATGACAAGGTGTCGTCTTATAATTCATTGTAAATAATTGTCAAATGTTGAATACTGGAAGATAATCAAATTCAATACATTAAGTCAATCTTCTTGAAGTTTATAAAGTAATAATTGCTTAAAACAATATTTTTGAGGAACATACGAGGGGTGATCAAAAAGTTAGCAAAGTATCTCAAAATAAAAATCTACAAAATCATATTTTAGATTGAATACAATTCGGTACATATATATCCCTTCACAAGCTCTATGAATAAATATCCATCCATTATAATATATGCTGAATAATGTTTTGCTCCTTTTTTGTGACGTCACAATATGAAAATTTGAAAAATAGTTAGATAACTTAAAAATATTGTAATTATTAAGTACATAAGTTATCTTTTATTGAAGATTTTTTTTATATATTAGATATGATAAGAAGGAGACATCCAAACTGTATCTACTTTGAACACTTAGTAAACGACTTTCCAGAGACAGAGGATTTGGTTTATGATGGTCGCCATGCTCATTCAGGAAACGGATAACGTTATCCATCCATTCTGTTGCAGAGATTTTGAAATTTCTGACAATTGGACTGTTCTTGTTATAAAAATTAACTTGCATGGGGAAAAAAATACAAGACTCAGAAGTATCTTACGGAGCAGGTCATGTTATCTCCTGTAACGCCTGATTCGCGCATGAGCAGAACGGTGGCCTATGTGTTTTAAAATTGAACAGGACTGATTTGAAATTAACCAATACTGAAACCAAATATTGTTTCTTTTATGGAAGTTATTCAATTAGATTGCGAACTTTTTGATCACTCCTCGTATTATTTCTTTTCCGAAATTACCTGTACTTTTTGAACAATTGTCCATGTCATAGCAGTCGGGACATGTACATCCCTCATTACATCCAGATTTATTCCTCCATACTTGACAAAGCTGGAAACAATCACATCCGAAACATACGGAAAAACAAACTAAAACAATAACTTTACATTAATTCCTAATATCTGAAATAGGCTTCCGTAATTTATTTTAACGCCTTTTTGCGGATATCAATGACTCACCTTTGCATGTATTGTTTACTAGGTAATGATTTTCACAACAATCTGTGATTTTACCATTCTTAATGCTATTTAAAAAAGAAAATAAATACAATTCATATGCTGGATTAAATTGTCTTTAAGCAAAACAAAAGGAAGATCTATTCCCCCTCACCTTTTATAGCAATTTTCCATAGCATTAATCAAGAAACATGTAGATGATATACACATAAAATAACAAAGGTTGTGAAACAACATATTAACAGGTGAACGATGCTGCAAAAATAGTGAAAATAAAATTGATCAAGATATAGAAAGCTTATTATGAGTTTAATGCAAAAGTCATTTAAAAAGCGGAAATGTTTTACGAAACATTTTAGTCTCTATATTTATAAATAACCTTAAAAAAAATTCCTGTTGCAACATTTGAGCTATTAAAGTCGCCCGCGTGGCGCATTGGTTTGAGCGTCTGCTCTAGTGTCGCGAAATAAGGAGTCAATTCTTATGTTGCGGGCTAGAATCCCACTGTGGGACGTGGAGACAGGTCCTTCGAATGAGACCGTATAAACCGAGGTCCCATGTCGCAGTAGGTACTGGCACGAAAAAGATCCCTCCATGCTCAATGGCCCTAAGTGCCGAGTTTAGGAAAAAATATGCAGCTCTCCACCGGCAAGTGGTGGCGTCTCCATTTGAGTGAAAAATTCTCGATAGGGACGTTAACAATACACATGTACAATCAATCAATCAATCGATTTATTAAACAGCAACCAATTTTTGTTTTCTTTGAATTTGACAATAAACATATATAGCATGGTAATGAGGGACACATAAACAATTCTTAACCCATGGAAAATTATGTTCCCCCCGAGCGCTTACATGTACCTCGGGGAAAATTATTTTAGAGGGGCAATAAAATCTTTATGTCTCCCGAACACTCACGCAATTGCTCATTTACACAGCAGTATCATTAACCCCCCCCCCATGTTAAATACGCACAATGATAGACACAATAAATCAACGATAGAAACAGTACAATCTCGGTCGACGCATTGTGACGACACAATCAGAAGGCAAGACGTAAAACACACCGTTTGTTGCAAGGATATGGAGATAACGAACAGTATTCAATATCAAAGTCCATAAAACAATACAGAATGGGAGCAGAGCAGACACGGACCTCCATCATGCAAGGTAAACATGATGGTCAAGTGACTGTCTCAGCCAATCAAATTATATTTTGGTAAATTTGCTAGTGGATATTTATATGAGGTGTAATAATGCAGTTTATAATATTATTTATTCAATGAATATGTGTCATTCAGTTAATTTTTTGTTCATTAAATTTTTAGTTTAATGGCTGAAGGTGAAGCATTTTCCTTATATTAAAATTTTGAATGACCCTTCAGTTAATTGAAAGATATGGGTTCCTTTTGTGATTATTATCTAAGGACAACATATAAAGATGCCTATTATTTCAATCTGTTCCTCATCACATTTTTGTGTCACTCGGATATTAGTTGTCAACATAGTTATTGAATCTTTTGTATATATTAGTTACCCATGAAATTATGTCCCCACGAACAAACAATATTTTACTTACCAACACACACTGATCCCCACGTATTAAAATGACCCCACAGTACTAAATATTAAAACTGTTGAGTTCCCTGTTTCATGATTTCGTTTATCACTAGCTTACCTTGTTTAAACAAATGTTCTTAAGTAATAATATATAATTATTAATTAAACATATGTTTCAAAGTTAAATTGAAAGTCAATTTAATAGACTTATTTGATGAAAATCGTTTAAATCATTTTTGCTTCGTGTGAATATTGTTTGATGTGTATAGACAAATAGGCACTTCGAAAAGAAAAGTGTCTTTTAATTAGGCAATGAAAACGTAGGCCCAATACACATCTGCTTACTTTAAGCATGATAAAAATCTCTCATTAATAAATGACCGATATGCTTTATTTAAAGCTTTCCATTGGTTTATGATGACGTTTCTTCTTGCAATGAACATTTCATAAATAATTATTCAATTAAATAGCAACATGAAATTTATTATTAATCAAGCAATCGAATAAGTAGTATATAAACGTACAATGTTAACTGGAAAACAAATTAGTACCGAGGACAAAACCAAACTTTGTTAAAAACCCTTGACTTATAAATTAGCAAATGATGATTTGAATAAAAATCTGAATGTTACCATTTGCTTGCATTATTACATTTATAAGACCGTATAAGCAGATTTTTAGCGAGGATTTAAGTTGGCATTTGAAGAATACTCGAATTGAATCAAGGTTTTAACAGTTTATTCATGTATATAGGTACATAACCACATGCTTCCACTCTGACGTCCATGCACGCACTACTCATGTCGGATACACACTGACACCTGACCCACACTAAGAACCATAACTCTTGCACACAAACTCTTACACACAACGCACATTCAGAGTTACTCCCCATAATATCAATACACTACAATACCCCCTTTTCTAAGAATGAACTTTTACAATTCTCAAAATAAATGAATTACTGAAAAGAAATTACTGTCCAACATATTATTAGAAAACATTTCCAATTTACAGTCTCAGATATAGAAAACTTTCAGTCAATCACATTCACACGGAAATAAATTTCACATTTCAAAGTCCTTAAGACGTTGCGGTAGTTTCCGTATACGGGTAGACCTTCTTACGCTCGGAGTTACTGGAGCAGAGGACGGAACATCATCACTATTTGCACTAGTCTCGACACTCGGTTCACTAAGATCACTCGTATTCTCTGGAATATCGGACACACTTTCCGGTTCCTGATATTTTTTAACGAATTCACTATTACGCTTCACTAACACTCCCTCCGGCGATTTTACGACACAACTGTTTCCCGTTTTCTGTACCAGTTGATACGGCTCAGCATAATACGGCTTATCCATTTTGTCCTTGACTGATTTTTTCAAGAGGACCGAATCCCCTAGCTCTAAATCACAATCCAATGCACCACGTTTCTCGTCGATATAAAGCTTGTTTCTGTATTTGGAATAAGAATCCTTGTCGCGCACTCCTTCATCATAGTTGTTTTCTCGTAGATTTTCCACTTGCGGTAGCTTTGTTCTCAGCTTCCGACGGAACATCAACTCGGCAGGTGGTACTCCTGTCGTATTATGAGGTGTGGTTCGGTACGCAAATAAATATTTGCGGATTTCTTCCTTCCAATTCTTAGACTCTGCATGTGCAATCCGAATTTTTTTCATCAAGGATCTGTTTTGTCTTTCTACCGCTCCGTTTGCTGACGGATGTAACGGTGTAACTGCTCGGTGCTTGATACAGTTATCTGTCAAGTAATCCTTGAATAACTTAGATCTGAATTGGGGTCCATTATCAGAAGTTATTTGTAAAGGAAGTCCATGTCGACAAAACATTACCTCCAGCGTATCAATGATTTTCCCACTTGTAATATCCTCGGTAACTTCAATCTCGTAGTGTCTGCTGTAATAATCAACAACAACTAAGACATACTGTCCAGACGTTAACGGTCCAAGAATATCAATGCCCAATTCTTGCCATGGCCCTGTTGGTAATGAAGTAGGACTGATTGGTTCCGGTTTCGGAAACGCACTGGTAATCTGACATCCGTGACACGATTTTACATACTTCTCCATTTCCTTATCCATTCCAGGCCACCACACTTTAGTACGTAACTGCTGTTTTGTCCCAACGATTCCTAGATGACCCTGGTGAGCTAACTGTACACACTGCTTCCTGAGATTTCTCGGAATCACTATTCTGGATCCACGTAACACCACGTATCCAATACAACAAAGTTCATCTCGGAATGGGTAATAATCAACACATGATTTATCCCACTTTCCCTCTTTGATGAATTTCCGAACTCGAATAAGTTCTTCATCCCTCTTTGAAGCTTCTTCTCCTTCTCGAGTTGACAGTGCCTGAGGGGTTGCCTCCCTTGCAATAAATTTCACATATTGCTCAGTGTCTCTTGAATTACTGTTTTCTACAGGTGTCTTGTCCACCAACCGTGATAACGCATCTGCGATATTCTGATGCCCAGGTGAGTAACGTACTTTGAAGTTGTAAGTCATAAGTTTTAATAGCCATCGTTCAATCCTTGCATTAGGTCTGGATTTTCTTCCATAAATCACTTCTAATGGTTTGTGATCTGGGTACATCCCACTAATTATTTTTAGAATCGGTAGGAGAAGAAAGTAGTGCAGAAAAAATTCCAAGTTCCTTAATTTGCAGACTTGCATAAAAAAAATTGGGCAGATGTACTAAACTGAGCCTCACACTTGTTGATAAGGAGTATCTTTCCTACCAAAATAGCTTGGAAAATGTAATTTATCAAGAAGATCAGCCGAATTATTTTGTGTATTATAACGCCAGTTACAATTCTGAAATTCCCCTACTTTCACTTTCATTTTTAGAGGTTCCCGCAGACAGACGCATTTTGCCGGAAAACGAATCTGACATGCCACCTCGAGATTTTAACCAAGGAAAGACAAGTTGATGTGCTTTGATTTGAGGGGTCACTCACTTCTGAACGAAAATTAGGGACATCGCTATGAGAAGAAACGTTAACATTGTCGCCTATGGGAAAACAATTAGTGGACTGTACCCATATTAGGAAGCCTATAAGTAAGTGAAAGATGTCATAAATCTTGAATTTATTGCAAAGTTGGTGTTTTCTATTATTTTCAATTGTTCAAATTTATGAAAAAAACAATTCTTGAATTGTTGATACACATTTTTAAACAAATTGATTCATAAATAAAGTGTCTAGACCCCCCCCCTCCGGAACAGACATCATACTCATACATGTATCACCCATTGTTTACACTAGTATCATGTAGATTAAATGTATCGATTTATAAAATTTATTTATTCAGAATCATAAATGTATAATTTGATTAAGAAGCAATTATATAGAAGTATATGCTCCACTGTGCTTTATTTTCAATACACAAAAATTCAAAAATGTGTTCGGGATCGGTATTCAATCAGGGTCAAGGTCGAAGTGAAAGTAGACTTAGCAGAAAGTTGTCAAAACTGTTCAGTGCATTGTTAAGCAGTATATAGGTGATGGGACTTTGTATGTTACACAGGAGGCAAGAGGTATACCTTTATACAATATTTGTAAATAACAATTTAATGTTTTTTGGAACATGTCGATGATCGGCACGTCACATACGTGACATACATCATTTCAGATCAGTTGCGCGGTGAAGCTGGTTACAGTTGTCTGGGAGTTAAACGATGTGTGTGAACATGCACATTTACTGGTTTCTCTCATATTTTTTAGCAATTGCATTACATGTATTTGTTGAATGTACAATTATTGTCAGTAAAACATGATTTTTATCTATTCTGTTGAATTAACTTAATTACCTATATATGTTAACAGTGTGATTTCAGGTGGAAGCCGATTAATCATTTTTTAAATTAATTAATTTCAAGTAATGGGCATAAAAGGAATATGGTAAAATTGTACGTGTTGAATGTCTGTGTTTCTGTCTGTCCTCAAATGTGATATTGAGCCATTTATTATATTGAATTTTTTTAGGTTCATGGTGATTGGTTGAGGAAAAACATGAGGTCCATGCAGATGGTGTTTAAAACTATTGGCCAGCAAATGCACACCCATTTGAATACATCTTGAAACAGCACCAGCAAAGTGTGACAGTCGACAAAATGTGTAAGTTAAAGTTTTCTAAAAAAAAAAATTCATTGAAGTGGGGGATGGGGTGGGGGTGAGGAAATTTACATATTAAATAGGTGATCAGAATGTGAAAGTATTTAGCTATGACTAATCCGTACATGCACTGCTATATACAATTTGCAGCTCATATACATTTTATTTTTTTATTTAAGAATTTCAAATTAATTAGATCTACATCTTTTTTTTTGTAAATTATGCATTATTAAGATTACACGGATATAAGAATTGAAATTTCATAAATATTTGACAGTCAAAATTATGCGATTTGTCAGGAAAATCAAAATTTTGTCTCATTTTCCTACAAATTACAAAATGGTTACCATGGAAACAAAACAACTTTAGTGGATTATTTATTTAATCTGCAAAACCACATATTTTCATTTTTTTTAAAAGTTAATAATAGTATATAAGCACTGATTTTGTCTTAAATAAAAAGTACGGGAAAAGTAATGATACACATGTATTGAGGTATCCATTATTATGATGTCATTGTGACGTCATAGATAGGTAAATTTGCATTGGCATAAAAAATCCTTTGAAACAAATGATTCTATATAGGATTATAAAGGCTTATAACTTTTTTATTCATAGACCAAATTTCATGAATGATACCTCAATGGACAGGAAATAATCAGTACTTTTTTATTTTACTACTTTCGGGGTATTTGTGAACTTCATTTTTTTGTCATTTCTGGAGAAACTATGAATTAGAGGGTGAAAAGTGGTCATATTTTGCGCGGAAATACATAATTTTTTTAAAATAAGTGAAATTGACCCAATTAAGTGCTTGATTATGATTTGACTATATGTATTTAAAGTTATGAAGGTGATTAAGATTAATATAAATGTGTTAAAAGGCTAAAATTTGACTTAAAACTTGGGTGCAGTTTTGGCTAGATTGGAGCATTTTTTAAGGATATTACACATAGAATTGTAAATGCTGTAAAATCTTAATTAATTGGTGAATTTTCATGAAACTTGGCATGATGTCTCTACTTATGCTTTAGATTGACAAACAGTATGAAATATTGTAAAATCAAAAAAATGCTTTTCCATATTGGGTACATCCCACTAATTATTTTTAGAATCGGTAGGAGAAGAAAGTAGTGCAGAAAAAATTCCAAGTTCCTTAATTTGCAGGCTTGCATAAAAAAAATTGGGCAGATGTACTAAACTGAGCCTCACACTTGTTGATAAGGAGTATCTTTCCTACCAAAATAGCTTGGAAAATGTAATTTATCAAGAAGATCAGCCGAATTATTTTGTGTATTATAACGCCAGTTACAATTCTGAAATTCCCCTACTTTCACTTTCATTTTTAGAGGTTCCCGCAGACAGACGCATTTTGCCGGAAAACGAATCTGACATGCCACCTCGAGATTTTAACCAAGGAAAGACAAGTTGATGTGCTTTGATTTGAGGGGTCACTCACTTCTGAACGAAAATTAGGGACATCGCTATGAGAAGAAACGTTAACATTGTCGCCTATGGGAAAACAATTAGTGGACTGTACCCATCTGTGACTAATTGAAAATCCACCCCGTAGAGATAGATATGGAACTTCTCACATGCCCATACAACTGCCAAAGCTTCTTTCTCGATTGTCGAATAATTGCCTTCGGCCGCTGACAACGTACGACTGGCATAACTGATGACCCGTGTTTCACCTTTGTTGACTTGAAGTAAGACAGCTCCCAGGCCTACATTACTAGCAACTGTCACTAACTGAGTTTTTTCTGCATCTAATCTGTAATGTCCCAAAGTTTTCACATTTGACAAACAACTCTTTAAAGTGTCAAAGCTTTTCTTCTGTTCGGCTGTCCAGACAAACTTCACATTTTTCTTTGTCAGTCTTCTGAGTGGTTCCGCCACAGTAGCAAGATTTGGTATGTAACGAGCACTAAAGTTTACAAGTCCGAGGAAACTTTTCACTTCGGATCCATTTGTTGGCTCTTTAGCATTGAGTAACGACTTGATCCTTTCACTAGTCGGTCCTATACCATTCTTTGACAAGACATGTCCCATGAATGTTATCTTGTTCATCCTAAATTCCCACTTGTTTAGATTTAGTGTCAGACCTTTGTCTTTGAGTCTCTGTAATGCTTTGCGAAGTCGCTCATCATGTTCTGCTTTGTCAAGACCATAGACTACGATATCGTCCGATATATTCTGTACTCCTTCACAGTCATGAAACACTTGTGAAATCACTTGCTAATATTTCTCTGTTGCTGATGAAATACCAAACATCAGTCTCTTATATCTGTAGAGACCTTTGTATGTAACGAATGTAGTGATCTCCCTTGACGACTCTTCCAGCTCAATTTGATGGTATCCACTTCTAAGGTCTAACTTACTAAACACTTGGCTACCATTCACCATGTAGAGTATGTCATCCACTGTTGAAATAGGATGCCGTTCACGAATAATGGCAGCATTGGCTTGCCTCATGTCGACGCACTATCTAATGTCACCATTGGGTTTCGGTACAATTATGGCTGGACTGACCCACGGTGTAGGATAATTAACTCGTTCAATGATATCCTGAGACTCAAGTTTGTCCAACTGTTCTCCTACTTTATTTCGCAAACTGTACGGAATTCTGTACATCCCTTGAGCTACTGGCATCACATTCTTGTCAATATGTAACTTCAACTTAAAGTCTTTTAGTTTTCCAATACCTCGAAAACACTTAGAATATTTATAAACAATGTCAGTTGGCTGAACTGTGTTTACTCCGAGTTTCAGAACTCTTAATTCATAGCCGTATCTCTTCCTAGTAACGCTGGTCCTTTACCATCTAGCACATAGAAAACTATAAGCAAAAAGCTTTTTATCGCTTTTTCTCTGACTGACATTTGATACGTTTCTTCTTGAGATATTCCCAGAGTTCTTTATCAATAATGTTAGCTGATGCATCACTATCTATCACAAATTCTACCGGATTTCCTCCTAGAATTACTTTGACTTTTTCTGATGATGCTATCCTGTTTTCAGACTGAACACGTATACATCTGAGTCGGAATCCACTTCAGAATAGTCTACTTTGTGAATTTTTCCACCTTTGCTTGGTTTGCTTTTTTCTGGTTTCTTTGTTAAACAGCATTTAATAAAATGTCCAAATTTTCCGCACTTCCGACATTCCTTATTCCTAGCGGGACACGATACGTCTTTTTGCAAAATGCCCCTCTCGTCCACAACGAAAACACTTCTTGTCCTGAAATCTGTGTTTCTGTTTGTCAGTTTTTTCACGATGTCCCTGAATTCTGTTTACTGACGCCACAATTTCAGTGGCCATATGCCTAGCCTGTGTTTCAGTCATTTCAAATGTAGCTGCTATTGTCCTCAATTGCTCTAACGTCAAGTCTTTTCCTTTCTCTAACAACTTGGCTCTTATTTTGTGAGATCTGCACTTTTCAATCACTTGATCCCGAATTTGCTCATCCTGATTTGCAA